GTTGCCTAGGGATAGAGGCTTCAATCCTTAGACACACAAGACCCTGCATCTTTGGCCCCGCTCTCCGGCTCCAGTGCTCGCCCCTCTCACTGCCACAGGCACCCTCTGCTCCAGTCAGACATGCTTGATAGCATGTTTCCCACAACCACTGCAGGCTCTTATTGCTCCCTGTCATTGCAAGGGATGCTTCTCCTAGGATGTCCTGGCTTCTTGGAGTTAACTTGGAAAGTATTTCTTTCTCTTTTTTTAAACGTCTTGATTGATTTCAAAGAGAGTAAGGGAGAGGGAGAGAGAGAAACATGAATGATCAAAGAGTCATTGATCAGCTGCCTCCTGCACGCCCACTACTGGAGATTGAGCTGGCAGAACCCGGGCATGTGCCCTGACCAGGAATCCAACCCTCACCTCCTGGTTCATGGGTTGATGCTCAACCACTGAGCCATGCCAGCCAGGTGGAAAGTATTTTTTAAGTCCAGGCTGAGCCAGATGCCCCTGTGCGTACCCTTGTCATAGCTCCGTGTTGACAGTCTGATTTCTCATTTTTCTCCAACGGAGACCCTCTTGAGAACAGAGAAGATCAGTATCTCTTTTCCCTGTACAGTCCCTATCACACAAGATCTTCCCATAAACAAACCTTGTTTTCAAGCGGTCTTTCTGGTCGTTAGTCCACTCGTCCCAATTTGGAGTCCCCAAAATGCACACCCACTGTACCTGTGTGGCGCACAGGTGGAGAGCCTGGTCTGGAGCTTCCGATGGGGAGCGTGCCACTTGCACTCCCCGAGGCGGCCGCCAGGGGCCGCCGGGCTCTTTGTTTTCCTTCCCTGCCGGGTCCGGGCCGAGGCCTGCAGAGCGCATGCTCTGGGGCAGTTCGCGGCCCAGCCGGTGAGCTGAGGAGTTCCTTGTAGCCGACTTGCACCGAGGTAGGTCGCGCGCGGCACGGGCGAAGGGTCTTGGAGGAGAGCGGCACGCTGAGTGACCACAGCCCGAGCGCCGCGGGGGGGTCCT